GTGGCCTGTTATAAACTAGTCAGGGGGGATCAGCAGGCTACCCTGTTCCCCCGAGCACTGCCAGGAGTGACTAGGAATAATGGTCACAAGCTGGCAGAGGGTAGGTTTAGGCTGGATATCAGGAGGCGCTACTTCACAGTCAGGGTGGCTAGGATCTGGAACCAACTTCCAAGCAAAGTGGTGCAGGCTCCTACCCTGGGGGTTTTTAAGAGGAGGTTAGATGTACACCTTGCTGGGGTCGTTTGACCCCAGTACTCTTTCCTGCCATGGCAGGGGGTCGGACTAGATGACCTACTCAGTTCCCTTCTGACCCTAGAAACTATGAAACTATGTATTAAGTCTATAGTTCAATATATTTTGAAGAAAACCTTCAAAATGTGATTTAAGTATAAACATGAAAGAGTCTTACTGAGTGCACAGAGTCTGAAATGGTAGCTCTTGTTTATGTGAATACCCTTGTTTATCTTAATAAGTGTTGGCTCACATGGTGGCTTAAGTGGCAAGGCTGTTAATTATTTAAGTGTGGTGGAAGGTGTGGGTGTGTAAGAATTTGTAGGAGACAAATTCTAAGTGATATCTAATTTTTGGCACAAGAGATTGTACTTAGGAAAGCACTTCCCTTGATAGACCCTCCCCACCACTACCCTTTTTTCCCCTTTTCCTTTCTCTCCCCTTGTCTGAATCCTGCCCTTACAGATCCAGCCATCTAGCCTATGGATATAATAAGACAGAAAGGAGGAGCAAATCTTATGAAGGCTTTCAAATATTACCATTAGAGATTTAAAAGCAAGGAATGGCTGAGCTGTTCAACTCTATTTTGAATGCAGATATTTGCCAGGTACAGGCATGACCTTTTTACTGGTATAAGTGATCGGAAACCAGTCTATGCCCATAACAGAACTGAAGTTTGGTGCACAGAGTAGTTTAACAATGACAGAACCTGGTCTAAGTGTTGACCTCTCTCCCCATCAAAGGGCAAACACGAGTTCTGTTTGCTACTGATCTAAACTACGCAGCTTACATAAAACCACGTAACTTAGATCACTTCCACCTCCAGCAGTTTGAATATCTGTACCTATCCTGTGTTTTGTGCTCAGCATCTCGTTTTGGCAGAGTTTGGTTTATGGGTAGGATCTGGTAGAGTTCCACTGCTCTTTCTCCCCTGTTTCAACCTGTAAGTTCATTTATCTCAAGTAATTCAGTGCTAACTGTGCAAGATAGTATATATTTATCTAATTAGAGTCTAATATATTTTACTTACCTTGTGTAAAAGAAGGTATTTAATGCCAAACTATGCATGGAGTTTTTTAAGCCATGTAAAATAACCTTGACTACAAATTCAAAATATTTGGCCTTTTATACAATAGGGGTTTTCTTCTGGGAGACTGATACTTCTGATGCTTTTTAAAACTCCATTGTCTGTGTAAACCAGGGCTCTATCATTTTCATTTGCAGCAGGAAGTTATGAATGGCAGCTCTTTAACTGTGACAAAGTGACTTTTCTTTGCCACCTGTATTAACAGAAATTGGATTTTTCCCCTATTTTTATTCCATATTTCATTTTGTTTGCAGCCTGAGATTGACAGCTGGCTCCCAAGCCTTACATGAAAAAGCGGGGTGGGGAGTGAAAGACATTAAGCTGTACTTTCTAAAGTGCCAGATATAAATTTGTTCATTTTTCCCCCTATGTGTTTGGGGGAACAAGTTGTTCCATTTAAGATTTGGATATGGTAAAGACTCTTTTTGTATAATTGAAGGATTTCATTACTGCCTTTATTTTTGAGTATTTTTTTCTACTTTTTATTCTATTGAATCATTACTTAGTTGTGTTCATTAGTTAATTAGGAGAAAGAAGTTGGAACTTTTTCCCATCATTCTTTGTTCTTCTTGCATCTTGTTTGGAATATGCTTTGGTACAAATGGAAATATTGGCTGTGTGATTAAAAATATTGGACAGCGATTCAGATTATGAAATGTTCGTTTCCTGGCTCTTCCACAAAAATAATTTGTGACCTTGGGCAAGACACTTTATTTCCCTGTGTTTTGATTTCTATTTGAAAAACATGTGCATAGTACTATTTCCTTTCACCCTCCCTTTCTTTGTCTCCTCTACTTAGAAGGCAACTATTTCATGACAGGAACTGTCTCTCATTATATATATGGCCGGATCTTTGAATGTATGCACATACAATGGCATTGATTGCAGTGGTGCATCTGGATGATGCTATGAAGAAAATAACAGCAAGTTGAAAGAATTAACAGAGGTTTGAAAGTACAATTCAGATATGATCAATATGACACTTAAAAAAAAATCAAGCATTACTGATTTATTTTGTTAGTGTTCTCAGTTGTGGCCATGCTAGATATAATTAAAAAGAACTCACTGAGCTGAGAAGAATCAGAAACAACCAGAGACTGAGCAGGACACATTTGAACATGTCTTCCACTTGTAGTTGTATCAGAATTGTATTGCCTTGTAAACAAAAAGGGTTATTGTAATTACTGTAGAGTTGGGCATTCCAGCAACTGCAACAATTAAATAGTAATATTCATTATCTTTTGATAAGGTTGGGAAATAGTAGTTTGGGGGGGGGGGAATAATGTGAATTTGTATATTATGTGTTGTATGAAACAAGAAGATTCTGCTGTTACATTGAATATAGGACCAGATCTAATAATAGGAATGTTTTGGACACAGTACAGTAGAAAGAAAAGAATATGGCGTATAAACAGGTATTAATTAAAAACAGAAAATGTGTAGTGATGGAGAGTAAAATTAGAAGTCAACACACCCTGAAGTCTATTCTAAACCACAAGGATTAAGGTTTAAGTCCAGTTATCGTGTTTGGCAGTTGCTTAGCTGGAGTCTTTGAGTAGACATTTAAGTCCTGCATTTAAAGCAAAGATGTTATCTGTTCCCCAGTGCCATCCCGGGTCTAAGTTGATCCACTTGCTGCCAGACCAGCCCCTTATACAAGGCCTGGGAAGCACAGTCCGGGATCTGTGACACACATAGTACTCCCCCTGTCTGGGACTTTGCCATGTGAGATGCATGTCCTGGATCTGCTGGGGGGGGGGACGGGGGTTGGGAGGGGCTCTGTGTGTGAAGCAGATCTCAGATTGGCTAGGGTGTGAACACCATGCGTAGCATGGATCCTGGAGTGGGAACTGTGTGCAGTGCACATTCTGGGACCCACACTGCACATAGTGCCTGGTCTGTTCAGTTTGGGAACTGCGCTGCATGTAGCCTCCACTCCCTCCCCCCACACCAGCTACACTGGGCAAGTAGCAGGCGAATCCATGGGCCCAGTTTGTATCATGGACTAGCCTTGCACCACTCATCTGCCCTGCAGGCCCAAATGAATCTGACACCCCTTCCCTTAAAAAGTGATTTAGAGCATTTAGAGTTGTCAGATCTATAATTTAGGTGCAGCTACCCTAATAAACTCTTTTAGCAGGTACATAGTTGGACCATAGAAATGAACCAGTCACTCACCTCTGTCTTCTGCAGCAGGCAGTGGACAGCATGTTATAACAGCTTTATATTTCATCCTACACTGTGCAGAGCTTCCTAGGGGATCTTGGCACCTCTGGCAGGTTGGTCAATGTTCTTCATTTTCAAAGCAATAAAAAAAAATGGTTGCCCACTGTAAGCTGATGGTACAGTTAAATGGCATCTGTCTTCCTGATGTCTTCTCCAATAAGGCTATACGGTAATCAATGGAGCATTATATTAGAAAATGGAAATTGTATAATATCAATGTTAGGAGACCAGCTACACCCTGAAATCAGCTGTGAAGTAGACCAGAGGAATGAAATTCAAGTGTCACCACAGTTATCTAGTCTCAAAACAGGTTATTGCGGCTTCAGGAGAAATTACTGTTTGTGGTTGGCTGCCATGCATTTTGTAGCACAAAAGGGATCAAAGCTTCTGATGGCCATTATGGTCATATTTGGCAACCTGTAACATCATGTTCTAACTGGTTTTAAAGAGTCTGCAGCTTTGTTACAGCTACAATAATGAAAACTAGTGATGCATATCTAAACCTTTAAACAGTTTAGGGTTATTTTCCCTTATTTGCCTGGCATTTTTCTTCTTTACACTTTCCAGCAATTCTTATAGGGCCTACCATGCTGTATTTCTGAATAAAGCATAGCAGCCAGTTTAAATGCCATGGGAACCAAATTAGGCCAAGGTACCAATCCATCTTCCTGTTTCCTAGTCCATTTCTATCCCTATCCACATGTGCCCATAATAATTATTTCCTTTGTGTTTCCAAGGAGACAACCCTGGTAAATATTCCACATTTGAAACAATATAAAATAGAAAAGGTTGGTAATTTAAAGTTGAGGATATTACTCCCCTATCCACTCTCCCAAATATGTAATGAAAACAATGTAGTTGGATATTAGTAACAGAAGTAGAAACTTCGGACCGTTACTTGTGTCCTCCTCAATTAGGAAGTATTCCAGCCTATTAACAGAAAAAAAACAGCTGAATTAATGGAGAAAGAATTTTAAAGAAATTGTTTTTAAAAAATGGTACCACATGCTGCCATCAGCCCTTTAAAGCAGGCTTTATTTAATATGGCTGGCTTTAATGAAGCTTACCCAGCAGGCATCATACCATTAAATCTTAAAGGCGAAGTAAATTTGGTACCTTTTCTTCCAGTATTCTTTTATCTGTCATTGTGTGTTTTGGCTAGATATAGGAACCGATTCTGCAATTGTAGTGCAGTGTAACTATTTCTCCTGTGCTCTCTGCATATATGTATGAAGGAATAGCATTGTTCTATAATCTGCTCACATTCACTTACAGAATCTATACTAGTCCCTTGGTATAAGCGTAAACCTTTGTGAGTAGTTTTAAGAAACAATCTGTCTTCCCATCCACAGATTGATGAGGGTGTCTCCCTGACTAAGGAGACTCAATGTTTTCATTGCTGAAAAGGCTTGTAGAAAAGAACCACTTCTTTCTCATTCATCTCTATACTGTGATATATGAAAATTAAAATAATCAGGGGTTGTGGGGAGATGGGAATAGCTAGACCCTAGGGACAGAAATGGTATTATCAACTGCAACATCTTGTACAGTGGACGGCAAAGTAGAGATATTAGTGAATTGTTGTTCTCCCCCAGTGATTTCTCATTCATATATAATTAAGTATTTTAAGCTCCCTTCCTTTCAGTGTTTCTTGATGATATCTTTGTTGCTGACTGTACGGATAACATGGGTTTTTTTTAAGGCTCAGTATGAAATGATCGACTTTCTTAAAAGTAAACATTAGGATTGTTCATCCAAAGATGTTACTGCTAAGTGCTGATATAAACTTCTCTCATGGAAAGTGATGGCCAGTGTGAAAGTCAGTTCAAGAAGAAAGGGCTACTATATAGTGAAAATGATTTCTCTGAACATAAATCACTTTGCCCATAGCATTTAAGAGCTTTGACTTTCCTGACTGGTAAATGACTGACTAAAAAGCTTAGCATGGCATTAATTTATTGTCCAGCAGATTTATTAGTACACATGAACAGTGCAAGACTATGATTTTGTTGAACACCTCTGAATGGAAGGGGCTTGTGAAATTAAGTACTTTACATCCTTGTCACCGTTCTCCCTTGAAAATACGAAAATAAAGTAATGCTGAAGAGTTGATATCATACCAACGGGTAATGCTCATAGGTTCATGCTTACACCTCAAACGGCCTTTTTATATGTTGCATTTTCAGCTGCACAGATGTTGATCTGTGTTAGTTCTAATTTGAATTTGGACCAATCAGCACCTTTAGGCAAAAAACTTTCTGTGACTGTCCCCCACCTGCGCAGCTATGACTTGTCACTAGAGGGCTAGCAAGCAGGGCCCTGACTAAGAGCTACAGCTGTGAGTTACCACTATAGGGCTGGTGAGCCAGGACACGTTTCTATCCCTTCTCTAGGTAGGGGTGTAGCAAAAGATGA